TTTTTTTTTTTTTTTTTTTTTTGGTTTTTCACTTTTTATTGTGCTTGAGTGAAAGTTTACAGAGCAAATCCATTTTCCATTCAGCTGTTTATATACATTTTATTGTGTGACATTCTTGCAGTTCCCCACAGTCAGTGTAACAGCTTTTTTCCCAACTTCCTCCCTGTGGTTACCTTTTCCTGGTGTCCTTTTTTCCTATGCATTCCTGCCCTCTGAGTGTTCCCCTGTGCAAATGCTTCCCTTCTGATCTCCAGTTATGTTTTATAATTGTCAGAAGCTTTTTAATTTGTCATTTATGTTCTCTGAGGTAGAATTGTGCAGATACTGTTAACTTTCTCCTGTAATTCAACTCAGTGCTTCCAAATGCTATTTCATAATACTGAGGAAAGTCTAGTTAGGTTAAAGTAAGTGCCTTCAAAGATACTTGTTTGTAGGAAAGATGGTTTAAATATATGGGAATTACAGGCTATTAGAAATTTCGTGAGTCAAGTTTTAGAGAAACCTTACTTTTTCAATAATAAAGTTAGTGCAAGTTTGGAAATAGTTATGCTATATGTAGCAGAAATAAACTTGGGAGGCTATATAGTCTTCAGAATCATTGAAAAGGTTTGAAATACGACATTTGAAATGTACACTCATTGATTTTATACATACATGTGTGTGTGCTCATTTAATTTTGTAGAAAGTAGATCTTACGAATTGGTTGTTTTTGACTTCCTGTTTTCTATACCCAGTGAGCTCTAATTATGGCATTAGATATTAAGTAGTGTTTAGAAAAGTTAAGACACTGATACCCAAGTTTTCTTTTTCTTGTAGTTCTAATATCTGCCTTCTAGTAATCTTCTCAATTTCTTTATCTGTTATTCCTTTTCATCTTGACAGAAAGCTACAGGGTGAACTAGGCATTGTCACATGAGTCCAATTTTATTCTCCTGTCATGACTACTGAGAGCAGAGCCATGTTCCTGTATAAGAGAGCATTGAGCTCCAGCTGTTCAGAGACTTAGTGGCCTTTGTGCTACTAGGAGACTATCCAGCACCACTCCAGCCAGTATTGTATATATGGTGTGGTCATATTAGTTCCATTTTGAGGTCATAAAGCACTTATGATGACAGTCTGGTAGGTTTTATTTTTCTTTAGTATTATGCCATTGTATTTTCTTTGTTTGAGTTCCTTACCTGTAATACTCTGATACTTTATCTTTTTTACAGGTGAGGTAAGCATTTGTATTGGGCATGGAATACCATCTAACATGTTGCTGCAGTCTAATATTGCTCTTTCTGGCTTCTGCAGCTACTGCCTTTTTGGATAGAGGCACATAGGTGGGGAAGTGCTAGAAATCTTTTGTGTCTTTAATATACAGTATCTATCACACAGGGGAAGATACAGTTTTAGTTAGGAATAATTGATCATCTTCTGCATATTAAAAAGAATGGTAGAGATGAATAATATCCTTTGAGAACTATTAGGTTTTCTAAAATAAAATTTGCATGTGAAAATAAGTTAAATAATGTGAAACTTCTTCAGTCATGTTTTGATTTTAACCTTTTTTGCTCTTTTTATTTGGCTAGGAAAAAAATGGGTCGTTCCAATTCTAGATCACATTCTTCAAGATCAAAATCTAGATCACAGTCTAGTTCTCGATCAAGATCAAGATCACACTCTAGAAAGAAGAGATACAGGTGAATTAATGTGCTTTTAATTCTTTTACTCATGATTATACTAGTTAATAGTGAGGTTCTACTATATGCGAACATAGTGTTAACCGCATTAAAGTACAGTATTTTATTTTATTCTCAAAGAACTTATGAAGTGAATCTATTCTTATCTTCATTTTAGAATTAGAGAAATTGAGAATTGACCAAGTTGCATCCAATTAAATAGCAGAGCAAGGGTTTGAATCAAGTTAATCTGACTCTAGATCTCAGATTATTATACTTTACTAGTACATGGTGGATTCTTTTGCATTTATCCATAAAATTAAGACATGAATTTTATGATACAAGGATTTTTTGGCTGTAAACAATATTTGCATATTTTTTTAGTTTCTCATTGTCATTTCTGACTCTGGGGTCTCATCTTATTTTGTTTTTGTTTTATGTTTTAATAACTCAGGTTGTTTTACATACTTAACATATGGAAGTATGTTAAGTAATGTATACTTAACATGATGCATAGATATATTATAATTTGGTAATATGTCTTACTGTTAAATATGTTGATATTTTCCCCCCTATTTTTTTGGTGCCTTCATTTCTAAGGCCTTTACTTTTCCAATATTTACCTTTGAAATGAGGCTTTTTTCATTGGAAATGGTTAACTTTTTCTCTTGGGTGAATGAGAATTTTGTTAATGTAAATATTTAGCTTTTATAATTTACTTACATGTACTCAACTAGAAGTAACTAGAAGCATTTAGAATGGTAGGATGGAAATTTTTTTTCTTGCATTGATATTTATTTCATTTTTAGTTCTAGGTCTCGTTCCAGGACATATTCAAGATCTCGTAGTAGGGATCGTATTTATTCTAGAGATTATCGTCGAGATTACAGAAATAATAGAGGAATGAGAAGACCTTATGGGTACAGAGGAAGGGGTAGAGGGTATTATCAAGGAGGAGGAGGCAGATACCACCGAGGTGGTTATAGACCTGTGTGGAATAGAAGACACTCTAGGAGTCCTAGACGAGGTCGGTCACGTTCCAGAAGTCCAAAAAGAAGATCTGTTTCTTCTCAGAGATCCCGAAGCAGATCTCGCCGGTCATACAGATCCTCTAGATCTCCAAGGTCTTCCTCTTCTCGTTCTTCATCCCCATATAGCAAATCACCTGTCTCTAAAAGACGAGGGTCTCAGGAAAAACAAACCAAAAAAGCTGAAGGGGAACCCCAAGAAGATAGTCCTTTGAAAAGTAAATCACAGGAAGAACCGAAAGATACATTTGAACATGACCCGTCTGAATCTATTGATGAATTTAATAAGTCAGCTACATCTGGTGATATTTGGCCTGGCCTTTCAGCTTATGATAATAGCCCCAGATCACCCCACAGTCCTTCACCTATTGCTACACCACCTAGTCAGAGTTCATCTTGCTCTGATGCCCCCATGCTCAGTACAGCCCACTCTGCAAAAAATACCCCCTCTCAACATTCACATTCCATTCAGCATAGTCCTGAAAGATCTGGGTCTGGTTCTGTTGGAAATGGGTCTAGTCGATACAGTCCTTCTCAGAATAGTCCAATTCATCACATCCCTTCACGAAGAAGCCCTGCAAAGACAATCGCACCACAGAATGCTCCAAGAGATGAGGCTAGGGGACGTTCCTCATTTTATCCTGATGGTGGAGATCAGGAAACTGCAAAGACTGGAAAGTTTTTAAAAAGGTAAGAACTAAAGTAGTGAGTTTAATAGTGATTATAATATTTAACACTTTGTTCTTTGAATTTTATAAGACTAAGGAGCTCTGGTAGTGTAGTGCCTAAGGTACTTGACTGCTAACCAGAAAGCTGGCGGTTCAAACCCACCAGCCACTCCTCGGAAGGAAGTTTGAGCAATCTAAGTCCGTAGTGATACTGCCTCAGAAACCCAAGGAGGGGTTGCTATGAGTTGGGTCCGACTCGATGGCACATAACAACAACGTGAATTTCATAGTGATATGCATTTAGCTAGTGATTTTTGCTCATGACTCCCCTTTTTATAAGATAATCCCAGATTGTTTTAAAGTGTTAGAGCATTGAAAGCTTATTCTGTTTTCTCATTACCACTAGAATGTGATCTACATAAATTATGCATTTATATTAACACATTCTAATTTAAATAGCCCAGGTATTTGTCAATTTTTGATAAATTCTGCCTGACTATGGAAAAAAATGTTATTTCTCACCTGATTCTAAGTGCTGATTTCAAGTGTTGATTACAGTTGCTAAAAAAACTTAATGAAAATTTGTTATTAGTGTAGTGTGATTAACTTAAAAGTGAGGTAATAAAGCAAGCTCTTGGTATTTATGGTACAGTAACGTACAGCATAGAATTAATTTTCTTATTGAACTGATACTTAGTTTCTATTAATACTGCCAGAAATCATTATTTTCTAGGACTAAGTATGTATGAAGTATATTGTGATTTAGATTGAATATTAAATACTTAATATTATCCACTGGATTGAAGTTTACTTATGTGAATTCTCATGTATATTAATAATTGAAATAGTCTGAAATTTTGAGCAAATTATTAGAAAAATTCTAATAGATACGTGTTTTTCTTAGCTTCAAAAATTAAACTTAGGCTGTTTGTAAGTTGCAGGGCCCCTGTAGAAATTTGGGTTTAGTAGTACAGAATTATGGTCTGTGACTAAATATAAAGGTTTTGAGGGTGGCTTTACTTTTTAAATTTCAGGAAGCCTATAAGTAAATTTTATTTTAAAGTTAGTATAAAGTGATGTTTGTATACTTTTAATGTGTTTTAAAAGTATGATCTGACAAAGCATTTTCAGTGGGATTTTTTCTTTTATTACTGGTCCTGTGATGTTGGACAACAAATTTAAGCATGCAGGTCATCTACAATGAATGCAATCCAGAGTTATCACCCTCTTCTTTGCTTATTATTCACAGGTTCACAGATGAAGAGTCTAGAGTATTCCTGCTTGATAGGGGTAATACCAGGGATAAAGAGACTCCAAAGGAGAAAGGATCAGAAAAAGGGAGGGTAGAGGGAGAATGGGAAGATCAGGAAGCTCTAGATTACTTCAGTGATAAAGAGTCTGGAAAACAAAAGTTTAATGATTCAGAAGGGGATGACACAGAGGAGACAGAGGATTATAGACAGTTCAGGAAATCAGTTCTTGCAGATCAGGGTAAAAATTTTGCTACTACATCTCACCGGAATGCTGAGGAGGAAGGACTCAAGTACAAGTCTAAAGTTTCACTAAAAGGCAATAGAGAAAGTGATGGATTTAGAGAAGAAAAAAATTATAAACTTAAAGAGACTGGATATGTAGTGGAAAGGTCTAGCACTACAAAAGATAAGCACAAGGAAGACGACAAGAGTTCTGAGAGAATAACAGTAAAGAAAGAAACTCAATCACCTGAGCAGGTAAAGTCTGAAAAGCTCAAAGACCTCTTTGATTACAGTCCCCCTCTACACAAGAACCTGGATGCACGAGAAAAGTCTACCTTCAGAGAGGAGAGCCCCCTTAGGATCAAAATGATAGCCAGCGATTCTCATCGTCCTGAAGTCAAACTCAAAATGGCACCTGTTCCTCTTGATGATTCTAACAGGTAATTCCACATTGACTCTCAGTCAGTAATTTGTGGGTGATAGTTAATATTCCAGTTAATTACTTTATATTTTGAACATATTTACCATTTTGATATTGAAACCAATGGTATACTTTGTTTGTGTGTGTTTGTTACCAATATGCTCCAGACCTGCTTCCTTGACTAAAGACAGGCTACTTGCTAGTACACTTGTCCATTCTGTCAAGAAGGAGCAAGAATTCCGATCCATCTTTGACCACATAAAGTTGCCACAGGCCAGCAAAAGCACTTCAGAGTCATTTATTCAACACATTGTGTCCTTGGTTCATCATGTTAAAGGTATGTTTAGTATTGTGAATTAAATTTCTCTTGCAAGTTAAAAAAGAAAGAAAGACTTAGAAGTAATACTTGCCGTTAATTAGTGTACCCCAGGAGTAGCAGGTATACGATTGAGACCTTTAAAAATTTGAGAAGAAACACAGTTTCACGAAAGAGATATTCTTGTTTAGCGTTGAGATGTGTGAAGATATTTAATAAAAGGTGACTGAAACGTTAGAGTTAAAACATACTCTAAAAACCTAGATCATAATAAGACATGTAGATTTGTTTAATGCTAAAAGTCTTCGAAGTGTGTCATTTTCATCTGTACCTGATTTATTTGAAGTACAGAGCACTTAAACAGATTATCTTCTATTGTATGCCAAGATGTTGACTTGAGCAATGTACCCTTGGCATAGATTTTAAAACAAACTGAGGTAGTATTGTTGCTGAGTGTTTACTGAGAGTTTATTTTCAACTTTTAAAGAAACCTGAAACTAATGCAAACATAGTATTAATCTCCCAGCTTGTTTTTGTGCTGCTTTAATTTGTAAAAAATACTCAGCTTTTTTTTTAATGGTGATAAATAAGCCAGAAAAAAATTTGTCAGTGTTTTGAAAGGGACAAGAAAGATCAAGAAATTAACAAGTATATTAGATAAGTAGAGATTAGACTGGCTAGGCTATATACTCTTTTATTGTGATTAATAATGATGACATTTCTTGAGATCCTAAAGATAAGGGTGTTCATTTAAATTAATGATTTTCTATTTTTACCAGTGTGTAATTGTAGTTTCAAAGTTAATAATTTTTAAGGCATGACATTTTAGACACGTAGGTCAAGTATTTTCTTTTTGTTTGCCTTTCCTTAGTTTGCCTTTGTGTTTAAAAGACAGCTTACTATGAAATAGATTTCTTTTCCAGGAACCTCCATGGCTGTTGGTCTTAAAAACTTTTTTTTTTTTTTAATTTGTTTCGATATAATTCATTGTAATAGCTGAAACTTGATACTAGCATTTCTTTTTGCACTTGATATCTCCAGTACAGTGAGTAGATAATAAATTTGTTTTTGACTACATTATTTAAACATGGTAACATAAGAGGAATTTGTTATTTGGCTAGTTAAATAGGTTTGAATAACCAGTTTGTGACCATATTATTGGTACGTGAAATATGAAGCATTAACATTTTTCCTTTTTTCACCTTTTTTGACCTGTCTCCACATTTTAAAATTTGTTGCTGAGTTTTGAGATCACATTTTGATAAAAAAATTTTTCCTTTTTTCATTTTCTTTTTCCCTTTTTTTAAAAGAACTATAGTTAATGTTTTATTATTGGTATTGTGCAACCGATCTGAACAGCTCTTAGTTTATATAGAGCTGAAAATGCCCAGTGATGTTTTCTTTTTCATTGTGACTAGGTCCTGGAATATGTTTTGAAATGGCAAAATCCATGTTTCAAAGTAAAATAGCTGTTGAAAGATACAGGCAAAGTTGAATCTTCTGTCTTCCTGGCAAAAATGGCATAAAAACTGAGTTGCTAGCTCAAATTCCTGGGTTTCATGGAATTATGATTGAGGCACTACCCTTGTAGTGGCCATTACAAGTTTTAATGATTGGTTATGAGACATGTGCTGGATATTGGGCGGTAAGTTGACACAGATGTATGTTGACCTGTTAAGCAGATAGCTTGCTTCATGATATAACATTTCATAGCTCATGACTTTATATGTCTTTCTATTTTACATTTACAGCGTATCTCGAACTGATTTAAAAACTAATCAGTATTGATATTACTAATTTAAAAATTGCTTAAAGGCAAGACAACAATATCAAATGTGCTGTCAGGTTTGCCAAGACGCCAGATCTTTTGGAGTTATTAATGAATGTTAATTGATTTTAAAGTAATATTTTTCCATTTGAAATGGCAGTTTTTGATTTTTTCTTAAAACCATTTTCTGTTGATTATGTCAACAAAATAATTTTATTAGTTTACTCAAACCAGCTTTGTAGTATTTCAGCACTTTTTGTTTCCTGCAAATGACTACTTGAAGTAACTTCATTGGTTCATATTGACAAGGTGTAAGGACATCCACATATTATTGTTCCTTTTTGTTCTGACTGAGGAACTGTAATGCAGTAGTGAAATGGATTACAGACTCTTGATTTAATTTATTGTGCTTGGATTATATGTGGTATTGGCAGGGGCCTGTGAGGAACTTAGCAGTGGTGTTCTGTTAGTATTTTAAATAGTACCTGTTACAGTACAAGAAGTTAAAAAGGATAGGAATACTATGTAACACTTGATTCTCTTCTGCTAGGTTTCTTGAGTATTTTTTTTTTATTTTCACCTGCCTACATGCCTTTCTATCACAAGTGAAAAAAATCTCTTAAAATAATGATAACTAATTGGGCAGTATTTTTCCTAAATCAACAGAGCAATACTTCAAATCAGCTGCAATGACCCTAAACGAGAGGTTCACTTCGTATCAGAAAGCCACTGAAGAACATAGTACCCGGCAAAAGAGCCCTGAGATACACAGGTATGTGTACTGCTAAAATGGCATATAAAAATGCTTTGATAGGAAGGCCCGGCCCTCTTTGAACAAGAGTATATGGGAACTATGCCAACAATTTATGATGACAGTGAACCTTGATTTTATTTCTGATTTATACTTTTAATATTTCTAGATTTGAAAATATTATAATTTATTGTTTCTTCTTAATTTTCAGGTAACTTGGTTTAAATTGGTCATTAGAACTTAAAATATTAACTCTTGTCACATCACAGTATGGAATTAAACTGTATTTCATTTTTTGGGGGAGAGAGGGAAGGAGGTCAATGCCTAGAGTTAGACTTGAATTTACTTCCGGAAGATTTGTTTGTAAAATAAAATTGCTTGGTAAGAGGAGCATGAATGTTAAAGTCAGACAGTAGTGTTCAAATCTTGACTGTATCACTTCATTGCCATGTAAGGACCAAGTTATTTAATCTCCTAAACATCATTTTTTCCATCTTCAAAATAAGGACGATAAGGCTCACTTTTCAGCGTGGTCATGACAATTACTAATTTCTAACTCAGTGGTTGATGGATAGTGGGTATGATTTTGGTGATGACTGCTAAAGAGGCATTGGCAAGTTGGACCTGATTCTAGCAAGGGAAGATGCACTGAGTATATAAAAATATTGAAGACTTACATAAAAGCAAATATCCCGTGCTTAAGTGCTTACTGAAGATATTTAGTAATATAATTGCATGATGATTGACACATAAAATGATACTTTAATGAAAACATGAACTTATTTTTCCTTTTTGGATTATTAAAAGAAATTTTGATGTTGTCAAAAGATAAGTTTCATTTATCGATATAAATATGTAGTTAAAGCATTTTAATTCATTCTTAATAGTTGTACCTTTTTTTTTTCTTGATTATTAGGAACTAGGTTGATAGTCTTACTATGCTAAATTAGTCTATTGAGAGAACTGCCTGTAGTTTCTCTTTAATAAAAATAGACTGAGGATTTTTTGGAACCCTAGAATTAATGTGACAACAAATGTACTTTATTTTACGTTAAGGAGAATTGACATCTCTCCAAGTGCCCTGAGGAAGCATACCCGTTTAGCAGGGGAAGAGAGAGTTTTTAAAGAAGAAAATCAAAAGGTATGTTTTTGAATGCTTTTTTTTCAAATTCTATGTTAAGCTCTGCTTAGTTAATGATACTGTACTAAAAACAGTTTAACAAGTCAAACTGTCCACAGGTATCTTCTTTTTTTTAACTTACGCATATGTGTCTCTTGGTATGTAGTCAGGATTCCTTCCTAGAAGAAATTCACACTTCACTAATTAAGTTAAACCAAGAGTGGTTTAAGAAAATGCTGGTGAAAGGGAGAAATTAGTCCTAACAGAAGAGTAAAGAATCAGTAGATAGACAAAGATAAATGGTAAAAGCAAGGGTAGAAATTATATTCGATTTCTATAAAATTTTGAGGTGAAATAAGACAAGCCAGAATAAATATTGATTGATTCATATCTGCCTAAATTTATACCTCTGGGTTTTTCACAGAGAACAAGAAATAACCCCATGGTACTGGGCATTTTTGGTCTTGATTGAGAAAAATTTTAAGAACTGATTGACAAATGAACATTTGTAACGAAAAGTCTTCATCATTATTGTAATGTATGTGAATTTTGGGGCAAAGCCTTTGAAAGACTGGTGGAAGAGAGCTTAATGAGAACAGGATTCAGTGGTTCAGGGGTGTGTGATATGCTTTTAATTTAAATACACCTACTTCTCACTTATTGACATGGTTAGTTTCCAAAGACCAGGAAGTTATGTGAAAATTACCCTTATGAGAAAATGGATGATGACTATATCATTACATAACTCCCACATTTCATCATTGCACAACTACCATCGTTATGGAACTGCCAAACCACTGAGAATCATAGCCTAGGCAAGCTGACATGTAACAACCCTCACAGCCAGCATTGCCCTCACTTTGCATGTTGGTGTTCATTACTGCCAGATGTATGTCATTAATGTGCAAAATAGGTGAATAGATTTTTTTACAATTGTAAATACAAAATGTTGGGTAATGAAGTAGATGATCGATGGGTGAAGAGTACATGTAGAGATTTTCTGGGTGGACTAGTCTATAGGACAGGTCATAAGGAGGCTAGTGGTAGAATCGTAAGGAAAAGAGAAAGGGAGCATTGTTCATGTCAAAAAAGATTAGTGGACTTGGAAGGGCTGATTGGTTCCTGTTCCAGCCATTGCTAAGTACAGTCTAAATGATATTGGGAAAATAATTCGTTATTTGGATCTTGGTTTTCTAATCAGAAAAGTGAGAATAAAAACATCTGTTTTGCATGGGTGTTTAATAATTGGCCTGTTATGTAAAAACACTTGGCATTTTTATCACTGAAAGCTATTACCAGTAGTGGTGTATATAAGTTGTTTAATTGGTCTTACTGTCACCTTATTAGATATGGAAGCTTACAAAGAAACTGGTTTCTTTGCATGGACATACTGATCTTAGAAAAACAGATTCTCAGAATTGATGTTTTTTGGCTTTTACTTTAAATATTTTGGGTTGACTGTTGATTAATTTTCTTTCCCAACAATTTAGTCTATCCTTGTGCTCTGACAAAATTTCTTGCTCCTCTCCTTGTTATTCAGACCAAATTTTGATCTGGAACAGAGAGGATAGTAGTAACTGATAGATGGACGAGAGGATATGACATTGCTTTTTATCCTTCATCTTTCTGTCTGAATGAATAATTAACATGTATTAATAAATAATTAATGTATATGTAGTTTGCCATTTGCTGTTACATTATTTTGTTATTTGTGGGTTTGGTAATACTATGGGAATAGGAAATTTTTTTGCTCTTGATTAGATTTTTTCTCGGTTTTTCTGGGAACAAATAGATGAGTAGTAGTTGATATCAATTGGATATATATACTTTCATTTTTTGGATGCATATGAATATTGCAGCTACAATTCCCAGAGTAAATGCTTCTTACTGTTGAATACTAGCAAGGATGTCCACGTTGCTTAGCATCTTACTGATGTATAATTTCTCTTCATTCCTAGATGCCTCTTTCCATCTTCCTAAATTATATAGTATTTGAAAAAGCAATGGAACAAGAAGGAGGTGAATTGTGACCCAGTTAAACTAATGTCCGTTGCAATACCTGACTTGAGAAAGGGCAGTATATGGCCCAAGATACTGAGTACAGGATTGGGAATAATATCTTTCTGGCTTTGTTTCTACCCCTGTTTAACCTCAATTGGTTTAATTAATTATATTCCACTTGCATGTTATGAAAATTACAGAATACTTAAAGTGTCTTTTATTGGGTTGGTCAACTGATTTGGAAAGAGAATGATAAAAATGAGGCTTAAGTAATGAGAACCATTATTATTTTAGGGCCTTTTAACTTTATAGGTGGAAAGACTACACTTTAACTGCAGACTAGAACCTTTATCAGTGTCCAACTACTTAAAATTTAAAAATGAAGGGAAGTAAGCCATTTGGAAGGAGGAGGGATAATGAATGATTAATGAGGATGTGTTGAGTTGAAAAAAAACCTCTTAGGGCAGTTCTACCCTGTCCCGTAGGGTCGCTATGAGTCAAAATCTACTCAGTAGCAGTGGGTTTGGTTTGATTTTTACTGTAAACAATTTGTTGAACGAAACCTATAAAAGTTTCAAGATAATTGCTATAACAACTTTCCCAGTCTTACTAGTATACACAAGTGTTTAGAAAAAACACATCAAGTACGTTTTTTTACATAAATTATAGGAATAGTATATTGTGATCCATTCTTTTCTGATACTAAAATACCAGTTTAGAAACTGGCATAAAATTTGACTATATACATTTTTTCTATGTCTCTCCTGAAGTCTGTATTTTACGTTTATCTTTTATAGGGCGATAAAAAACTAAGGTGTGATTCTGCTGATCTTCGGCATGACATTGATCGTCGTAGAAAAGAAAGAAGTAAAGAACGAGGGGATTCAAAGGGCTCCAGGGAATCCAGTGGATCAAGAAAGCAGGAGAAAACTCCCAAAGATTACAAAGAATACAAATCTTACAAAGATGACAGGTAATTGTTCAAACTGTCTGAGTTAGGTTTTAGCTTCTAATTAGCCTTTAATAATTGTCAGCTTAATTGCTTTCAATTTTGACTGTGTAATCGAATGTTTAAATTTAAACAATTAAAATTATTTGTTTTACAGCAAAAATGTATTTGTCTTTTACACGGCTAATGGTGGATGAGGACAAAAACTTTGGAATAGCAAGCTAACACTGAAAAAAAAAATGACAAATTAATGTGTCCTATTATCCAGGCTACATCAGGAGGTTGGACTTCAATGCAGTGCATTTCTAGAAACAGTTTGTGTAAGAACTTTGGTTCGTTATGCTTGATTCCGCACTTTTTCAACTCATAACACCCAGAGTACAAGAATTTTAAACATATCTAGTGGTTTAACATGAAAAATGGGGGGAGGAAGGACTCGTTTTTATGATATAGCAATGTGTATTAGTCTTTCAAAGTTATGTTTCCTTGGATACTGTTAGCAGTGGTAAGAGTTACTGCAGGTATGACCTTTCGGGTGTTGTTATTAGAATCATGTAAATTTGATCATTGTAGAGCCAAATAAATAATAGGAATACAAAGTATTACTATAGATAATTAACTCTTCTTGCTATTCATTGGGTAAATGGTGGATACTTGTTGTTTATTTATGACTGGTATTTGTAATGTTACATGCTTTTTATTTCTATAATGGTGTTAATGGCCAAACCATACCAGCTATTCTCACTCAGGGTATATAAACTGCAGTCATTTTGAACTTGGCCTTGAGAACATTCTTACTTTTTCCTATGCTTTTTCCTTTTCCTTTAAATAATAATAAAAAAAAATTAAATAAAAAGTTAAAAGTATTGAAGAGCTGAACTTTATTCTTGCAGTTTACAAGCTGCTAGTTTCTAACTGGCAGGCCAGAGCATGTTTTTCATTAATTAAGTAAAACAAATATTGAAGAATGGAAAAAGACTGTGTCAAAGTTTAACACGTAGTTATTTTACTTACGCATTAATTTTAAAGGGGATAGTTGTTTGTTTGTTTTTTTAACTTGAAAAAATATCCCTTTTATTATAAGATTCAACAGGGTCTTTATGTTTTTAAAAATATCACATAGTTTTTTATTTTCTTCATTTATTTTGCAGTAAACATAAAAGTAGAGAGCAAGATCATTCTCGATCTTCATCCTCTTCTGCATCACCTTCTTCTCCCAGTTCTCGAGAAGAAAAGGAGAGTAAGAAAGAAAGAGAAGAAGAATTTAAAACTCACCATGAACTGAAAGAATACTCGGGCTTTGCAGGAGTTAGCCGACCCCGAGGAACTTTTGTAAGTTCTGAAATTGTCTTTGGTCACTCGATGGGACTTTACCTTCTCTGGTGTTATATATGTGGAAAGTTGAATATATGATTTTAGAGTGTTGTGTGAGTTAGTACTCTGAAAATCAGTGTGGATCTTGAAAAAGGGAATGGTATTTGAAGAATCATCTTCCTTCCTTAAGAGATGCCATTTTGAGATTTGGAGGCATCTGTATAAACCAGATACTTTTCTTGACTTTGACTTTGGGATTAATACATTGTTCTAAAAGACCTCCATTGAAAAGTCAAGGAAGGTTCTTTTCAACTGATTAAAATCTATTTCTTTAATCACTTAGTTTTTGAAAAGGTATCTTAAAAACTTACGTTACAATCTGTATTACAACTATTTTCATTTTTGCCTATTCTTAAAGTCCTTATTTATATATAAATTTCAATCATGGAATTCATATGAATATTTTCTTTTTATTCTACATAGTATACACACTATCCTCATGTTTCCATAAAGTTGTTATACAGGTATGCGTCGCTTAACACGATAATGTTCTGTGAAATAGATGTTACATTATTTGTACGTTGTGTGAATACCATATTAAAACTTTGTGGAAACCCACTTACAGTTGTCCTCAAAGCCACTGCTATTAGAGCTGCTGGCAGAGGCTAGAGGAATGGGCAGTGGCATCAGTGGTGAGGAGTATGCCCAGTCCTTCTGCTGTTCCTTCTGTTTGAGCAGCTGGAGGATCCTGGCACTGCAGCTCCTGTCACTGCCTGCCTACCCACTGGACAAAGCTTTACAGCTTGTGCCCAGAGGTGTATCCTCTGCCTCACCGGCCTGTATCCCACCTGTGGTCCAGTGCTGGAAGAGTCTGGAGTTTGGGGCCTTTAAAACCATTAGGGTGAGATAATAACAAGAGAACTGCTTTCTCTTACCAAAAAAAAAAAAAACCTTGTGAGACCATGGATGTATACATGATAGAATGTTGTCCAGCCAGAAATTAAGCGATACATACCTGTAATTATTAATGACTTCATAATTCTGTATCTTCTTGCCTTTTTAATAGCTACATTCAGATTCCTACTTTGAACAAATACACAGTTCAGGATTGATAGGGTCTGTTAATTAGATCATTTGGGAGAGAGAAGACTTTTGCTTTTGTGGCGATAGGTGTTGAACACTTGGGGTTCCTGTGGTCAAAGGAATAAAATAATTCTTTCGGCTAGTAAAAGTGGAAAAATAACCTGATTATTTAAAAATACTAGTTGAGGCCATGGAAGTGTAGTATACTAAAACTTAGGCTGAGTGCATTTCTTAATGTACTCAAGTTTCTGTAGGCAGAAATTTTTTACTTATGGCATAAAATCAGCCAATCTTTATCATCCTCAGTGGCTATGAAATTAACGTAGGGAGGGAAGTAGGGAATATGTTTTTTGTTACTGCAGTAAAATTATAGTTTGCATGTAACTAAATACCTTTTGATTGCATTACTAAACAACTTTGTTAATGTTAATCAGTTTCGAATTAGAGGCAGAGGAAGAGCCAGAGGAGTTTTTGCTGGGACAAATACTGGTCCAAACAACTCAAATACTACTTTTCAAAAGAGACCGAAGGAAGAGGAATGGGATCCAGAATATACCCCAAAGAGCAAGAAGTACTTCTTGGTGGGTGTTAGAAATCTGTGTTTATTTGGTTTGCATTAATTTTCAAAGCACACTGGGTGAATACATTTGAGTGGAGATAATCCACCACTGTGAGAAGATTTCACCATAATGCAGGAAACTTTTATATAATTTATTACCCAGATTATTTGTAGTTTGAAAATGTGGGTCCCTTTAGTTCTGTTTATCTTGACATCACATTTAGACTAATCAGAGTAAGCTGAAAGTTTACCTCATTTGAAAGCCATATTCAAAGAAGATCATATTGTAGGTTGTATGTTGTAGTTGTGCTTTATTGTAAGAGACAGTTTTAGAAATTTACGATTAAGATTAACTTTCCATCATCACAGCTGTTTGTTTAAAATGAAAAACAACAGAGATAAAATTCTTTCACAGTACTTTATAATTAAAATTTTCAGGGAGGCTGGCAACTTCCCCTGGAGTAAAAGGAAGATGAAAAATTATTTCATGGAAAAGTTGCTAGATACACTGAGTTGATTTTTTCTTGTGATGGAGGTACTTACCCTGTGAAATAGTTTTCCAAGGGTTGAAGCTATAGATGTTAGGTCTGGAAGGATTCTCTAGGCCAGGATTGAAACATTTGCAGTTTGGCATGGGGGAAAAGGGTTCTGAATCAAAGAGACAGACTTAAGAAAATCCAAAACCATTAGCAGAAGCATTCATCTTTGTCATAGCTTTTTAGGGAAGTCATGTTTCCGAGAGACTGTATGTGAACGCAAGGAGGAAAATATTAATAGATTTACAGAATTATGTCTTGCATCAGCTTTTTATGAATACGCTTAGATAAACCTGAACATCCATGGCATGTGTATTAAACTAATTAGAAGGTAGAGCTACTTTCTGAAATAGATTGCTATTTTGTTTGGTAAATGGGCAAGATACTTGTTTCAGAAATTAATTTCTAGTTTCTTCTTTTGGTACATTAGTGACCAAGAAGTGTGAATAAAAAGTTCCGATTTCTTGCAGAGCACATTATGAATAGTATTTGCTCGATTATGTGCTTCTCTTGGAGAAATTTATACTTGTTTCAGTTGCTTGAATTGGCAACATGGAAAGTAAAAAGACTTGTGATACCTTTGACTCCATAATGGAATAAAGGTATAAAATTTTTATTTACTTCTAATAGAAGAATTTAGTAAGAAACTACTATTTTTGCTGGGTACTAAAGATAGGAAGACAGATATGAAATGATTCCACATTCTCAGCTTACAGATTAGTATGGAGGAAAAAGCATTCTAAATATATATGGTGGTTTTCCAAAGGAGGAAAAGAAATCTTTGGAGAGAGTGATTGGGAAACATTGCATAGAGGAACTTAACTTGAATTTTGACCTTAAAATATGGCCAAGTTTATCACTTAGTAGGAGTGAAACATGCTGGCGTAGAGAACTTCGATACTTGGATAGCTAGGTGGTTCGTATAAATTTGGAAAATTAAGCAAAGGCTAAAAAGGTATGCAGGAGCCAGATGTGGAAGGCCATATACTGTCTTAATAAATTGGGTTTTAAGTAGGGTTTAGAAAAATCATGGCTGTGAGAACAAAAGATTTGAGAAACAGTTGAGCACCTGAACCAAGGTGCTGGATTTGAGAGAAGATAAGAAAGTAGCTTTTATTAAGATTTACTCAGGGACCAACTAGTTGGGAGTGAGAGGTATTTATCTAAGATAGGGAATAGTGGAGAAGAGATTCTTTTAAGGAGATTAAATTCTATTCTGGAGAGGTTGAATGAGAAATACCTGAGGAAATCAAGTGGAGATGTTTCATGCATAGTTGTTGGTGTAGCTCTAGAGAGACAAAACACCTAGGAGTCATCATCTTACAGGTCACAGTTAGAACTGTAATAAATTAATCACCCAGTCAGAAGATAGGGTGAGGAGCGGGTAATAGTGAAAATGTCAGACAAGTAGACTAAGTGTGGAAGGTCAAAAAGCTGAAAAGTAATGAGAGGTGAACAGGCAGATAGCAATGAATTGTTCACAACTTTTAACATTGTACAGATGTTTAATTTAGGCTAGACATTTTTTTTTTCTGTAACATTCTTTTAGAATCTGATGCCATAGCTTTTACTGTAAATTGGGATGTACTTATTTTATGTTGCTGTTATCAAGAAGAATGTGTTCTTTTAAGAATCTAGCCACTGATCAGTAGCAGTGCCATTTTCTGTGTTCTGTACTATCTTTAAACATCTTGCTCTCTATATAAAGCATACACATGTCTTTGTCACAGACTTCTTGTTCACGTTAATACATAGAAATACAAACAAATAGAATTCAGAGAAACAGACTGAAAACTGGACATTGCGTAGGCTCTTTCAGTGAAACTAGCATGGAAAGTTTGCCTATACTGATGAAACATTAATACTTAGTAATATTAATAGATAACAGTTATTGAGCATTTATTATGTAGGGTACCATGCTAAGTGTTTTGCATGTGTTAACTTATTTTTAATGCTTATAAAATCTTTTTGAATTAGGACTTTTATTCTCCTTTTGCCAAGTGAAAAGTCAGAGGTACAGAGAGAGATAAAGTAGCTTGGCCAAAGTTATATGGCTAGTAGGATTTGAACCCATGCGTTAGTCCAGAGTAGACTACTACTTCTTAAAAACTGGATTAGGCTTCCTCCAATACAAACTCATAGTATTAACTTACTATACTCCTTTCTGATGTTTCCCATTTCAAATCTTGGATATCTGCAAAGATAGGGTAATGTTTTCAACACTAGTTTCTCCAGGAACGATATTAGTCTAATTTAAATCCTGAAGTTTTATGGAGGGGTGAGTATGAAGAATTGAAGCAAGTGACGAGGGTAGAGTACTTAAGTGAACACATTTTCAGTGTTGATTTGATGCTGTCTTCTGTGGAAAGGAAAAAATCCCTGGTGGGGAAGGGGGTTAAGAATTGGATAAATTAACCCTTTGAAACATTATAATTTTATGAAGAGTTGAAGAGAGGATTCAGAAGATCTTGGTTCAAATATGAACTCCTTTATTAACATATTTTTGGCTGTATGTAAATATCTAACATCTCTGGCCTTTTAGTATCTGTGAAGTAGTTAATGATTGTTTGTTTATTTTAGCAAGATGCAAATCTTGAATATAAGAATTTGAAAATTAAGAGTTAGTACTTTTGGCATCAAAAATCTCACTAGATAGCTGCCAGGGAATAGTACCCTGTCTGACAAACACAGCTTAATCTCCTAGCTGTAGTTTTTTTCTAGCCAGTTTCAGGTGATTGAATATCTAGAAGTAATTGCTAATGTAACTTCAGTGTCAAGATTTTTGCCACTGTTTTTCCTGTTTTTGCTAACTTGGCTGCTTGGTGTGCTCGTCATTTTCTACTACCTGCATTTGGGGCATGTATCTGTGAGTGATGGTCATAGGAGGTATTGGGAGGAACAAGCCCTGTGACCTTGGACAAGTTAGTTAATTTCTCTGTGCCTCGACTTCTTTATAACATGGTAATAATAACAACATCCATTTTCACAAGGTTATTGTGAGAATTAAATGAGTAAATACATGTAAAATGCCCAGAAATAATATCTTAACCATAGTGAGTGGTAGAATTAGGATGATCATAACCCATGTCTCATACTCCAAAACCTGTTGCCTTTTCCCATAAATCTATGAATACCGCCACAAATAAAACAAACTCTAAATAGACTTGAGTTTGCTGATGTCATAAAGGAGCATGAAATTATGTGTAACTGCCAGGGCATCATTTTGAGAGGCAGACTATTTTAAAATAGCTTATTTGGAATTTATACATAACTCTGATGTATTGAAAGTTAGACTTGGTAGCTCCTAAATTTCTTTTCTTTGGCTGATGGAGTCATACATACCTTTAACTTGTGATCTAGTGCTAGTTTAAATATAGATGATTAGAAATTGGCAAATGCTCCGTCATTTAGTCTGTTGGTTGTGTGTATAATCAGACTCTTTCAAGTAAAGGAGGAGGGTCATCTGTATTAAATGAATATGCATAAAGTTGTGTGCTTTGAAAAAGGGTTCTCATCACATAATATTTAAAAAAAAAAAGTTTTAGCGACTTTTGGATAGTTGGTGAATGCTGGTACTCATTCCATAGATTATTTGGTACTTCATTTGCATTATGCCAGTTGTCTTATAAAGGCCTGTCGTTTACCTTATTGTCCATTTTGTGAGTTATGACCTTAAAAGTTTAAATGTGAGATGGGTGGCAGTTACTGCAAACAGAAAACCTTTGGCATTTAGTTTTTTCTTTCGGTATGTATAGAAAGCTCATCTCCACTTATCCATAAAGGCTAGCGCTTTGCGAATTTGCAGATTGTTTCGCTTAATGGAATAATTTATAATTTAGGGAATACCTGTATTTGGATACAGGTAGTGAAAAAATAAGATTAGAAAATAAGATTAGAATGTGGTAACGACTGTAGCTCAGGTTGATGAGGAAAGAGAGATGAGGTATTACTGCAGGGAGCAGGCTGTCTTGATTTGGCATGTGAAACTCCATAGCCTAGAAGGTTGATGTGTAATATACATTGCCTTAGATTGACTCTCTCAATTAGGATTAAAAATCTTTATATATGGGGTATTCAGATGTCATCTATTTATTTAGTCAGTGTTATTGATAATACTGTAATGACATTTTTGTGAAACTTATTTCAAATCTTGATGACTAAAGTAATTCTGTAGGGAAACATATTGTTCATTTTATCTCATTTCATGCAGCATAATAAGTTGACATAGATTAAAATAATAATGGGAAACAAAAAGGTCAGAATACTGGAAGTCTGTGGTAATCTAGCAGTTGAGGTTGCCAAACAACCATTTCTGCAGACCTCATTGCTTGCATTACTAGAAGTAAGGTGTAGTTAATAACTCTTGTTGAAAAGTTCCATTTTACTGGTTTTGTTGTAGTGTTACAGAACATTACCAGTCTCATACTCAATCTTCAGAAGATTAATTTTGCATAATTTAGGATTGGGAAAATAACCATCTCCCTTAGAAAAAAGACATTTTACTGATAATTGTTTTTAACCCTTCTGTAGCATGATGACAGAGATGATGGTGTGGATTATTGGGCCAAAAGAGGAAGAGGTCGTGGTACTTTTCAACGTGGCAGAGGGCGCTTTAACTTCAAAAAATCAGGTAGCAGTCCAAAATGGACACATGACAAATACCAAGGGGATGGGAATGTTGAAGATGAAGAAGAGACCATGGAAAACAGTGAAGAGAAGAAGGACAGACGCAAAGATGAAAAGGTAGAAAATATCAACCTACTGGTAACTGGGAGAGCAGATTTTCTTCAGTGTGGGTTTGGAGGGCAAATTGAAGTTAGTTGACGATTAACGTTTTAAGAACAAGAATAATTATTATAGTTCATTTTCATTCTCCGTATCTTTGTTAATATTTATTTCTCTTTGTTCTTTAGGAATAGTAAATCTGAAGTAAGATTACAACAGAGAACAGAACTTGCCACCCACCGTTTTTTTTTTTTTTCTTTTAAACCTGAATTTTGTTTTTCAATAAGAATGTAAGCATTTCACTTAAATTTTACTGTTTGCAAGTAGTCTATAGATACTTTGTTTTAAGTCTTTAAATATCTTGAAAAATAGTAGACTGTATGTTGAAAATTGTACTGAAATAGAAACTTGTTACGTATCATATTTGTAACTATCAACTTTAAAAAAAAAAACTTTTGCTGTTTTTGTTACATGCATTGTAATTCTGCTTTGTCTATAAGATATGGTCAAGTACACCTCTGTGAAAGTTCTGATTCTCTTCCCTCCCTGTTTGTTAATGTTTTATTCTGAAGTAAACTTTAGCTCTACATACAAATAAATCTGAACAGAAATTAATTATAGAGACCACACTAATTATTTTATCTGTATACATCTATTTAACATTTTTCTTAATTTGAACACACTACACCATAGGGTGACTAATTTTTGAAGTGTGCCACACAACAAATTGTTACATTGATAAACCTAAGCTAGTTTAACACTTGAGCAAGTGTTTAAGAAGGGGAAAAAAAGCTTTGCCAATAAAAAGTATAAGCTATTAAAAGTTATATTGAAAAGTTAGAGAGATTTTTTTTTTTTAACTGAAAAGCAAGCACTGACCTATAACATTCTTAGGAGCCTTTTCTATTTTGGTTCAAAATTAAGTATTCTTTTTCCATTCTTATTTGAAAATTTTGAGTCATGGTCTTAGATAGCAATTTTTGAGAGCGGAAACTGACTTGCAATAATACTTGCAGATAAAGTATTATTTGCTTCCCATTCCTACTGAATGTCTTAGTAATAGCAAAACCAAAACAGCACATAACTTGTAATCCTGTTGTTAGTATGGAGGAGGAATATCCTGCGTTAAAACAGTGTACCTGATTTCATATCTTACCTATTAGTTTGTAGTCTGACCATAATAAAAATTACTTTAAAAAAAAAACACAGTGTTGATTAGTATTTAAAGTAACTTGTTTTTCAAATGTTATCAATAAAAAATTTTGGCAGGAAGCTTGTAGCATTGCTCTAACTGGGTTTTAAATTTCTTCTCTATATCAGTTACAGTTTGTAAAATGGCTTTTTCTTTTCTTTTTATTTCCAAAGGTTCTATTCTTCAGGTAGATAATCTTTCAAATGTGAATTACCATTTATATTTATGTTGATAGCTCTTAAAACAAAGTCTGAAATAGTAAGTTTTAATGTTGAGTCTATCTGCTTTATGAGCCTATATAACTGAAAGTTCACTTGTTAATCCAGGACCTGAATTAGCTGTATGTTTACATTAAAAAGAACCAGTGCTTATTCTGTTAATGTAAACTTTCAAAGATCTTTTCATCCTCACTTTTGATCATTTGCAGTGGTTCTAGCACCTTGATTCCAGCAGGAGCATTTAAAAGCTGCTGTATGGGACAGGGTAGAACCCAGTATATGTGATGTTTGTGGCCCTGAGATGCTTAGTGTTGCATGATTTCCCCTTTTTAATTTTGTCATTCTGAATACATACTGAAATTGTCTGTTAAAGCAGTGGAAATACCGTCAAAGAAAGTATGTATTCCATTAAGCAGGAGGTAACTAATATTCTCCTATTCAGAATTATACTTAAATACCTGTTAAAGCAACATGGATTAGATACTCAACCTAGGAAAATTTTTATGACCATTTCATTTTATGCAAATAAATTTAGTCTTTTATTACAGTCACTATTTGGTTAGACGCTACATCTCTGTTCATGACTATAATAGGTTCTTTTGCTTTTCTACTTATGACAATAGGAAAAAGTGGATTTGCTGAGAAATTATTCAAATCATTTAATAGGAAGTAAAACTAAAGTGACCCAAGTGCTATAATCTAAATATAATATGATTCAGTTGCTTTAATTATTCTCTCCAACATTTAAAATTGAGGTAAGGGTATCCTACCAGAATATGGTGGGAGAGGATGATTGTGAGAATTCAGCAGGTGAATGCCCTTCTGGATGTTGATGTTACCTTTTTCAGAGCCCAGGATATAAAAAGCAGCCTTGCATGTATTTTTTTAAATCAGAGTTTAACTCCATACTTTATGACATGAAATGGTTCCTCTTCCTAACCATATTATATGTTTATAGATGCCAGGAAATACTAACTCTATGATAACCTGCATCTACAGACTTCCTTTTGCCTAGAGAAGGAAAATTAAAATGAACCAAAGGATATATCCAGAAATGAATAAAAGAAGCTACTTAAGAAGGCCATGACTCAGTTTTTATATGTGTATACCTAGCAACCTAGGAATATAAAAACCAAAAATATTTTTTTTTTCCAATTGCAGTCTACTTCAAGGAGTTACTCTGATTCCCTTTCATCACAGTTAGTATCAGTGTTGGGAATTAAAATTTGAGAAAAATTACCCAATAAGAATGAATATAGATGGCTAAACGATGCTTACTCAGTGTGATGTGATAATGCAGCAGGGACCCTTGTAATTTGTCATATACCAATAAAATATCCTAAGTGGTAATAGCTGTTGTTTATTTACATAATTTTGATACTATTCTTGTATATGTCCTATGCAATGAATTTCTATGGACTATTTCTAGATTTTAAAATACTAACTTGTGGGAAAATTACTGGTGTGGTATGGCTTTTTTGAGGAGTTGAAAATTGCTTTATAAAATTCCTCAAACACCTCTTTAAGGTTTTTGCCTGGGAAAGTGGGGAATATTTTTACAGTTGGTGCCTGTGCTACTGTTTAGAGAATACAGGAATTCCAGATTCATAGTCGAGCTCTCTTGTTCTCTGCTAATTAATAGAAACTTACCAGCCATAATGTGATGATGGAGAGTCAGCATTGCTTCTCTTCCTTTTTTAAAATATAGTAGTCAATTTTTTCAGACGTTCTCTTTTTAAGTTAATCTTTGTTCACATTGAGTAAAATTGAGTACACATTGGTGTAAATCTTATCATTCACTTTTTTTAAGGGTATTTCAACCACAAAGTGGCCATTCTCTTAGCTTTGAACACAAGTTTCACAGAAATTTGTGTGATAAGGCAAATTGACACACTTTGACCCGTACACTTGGCAAATTATCCCTTTAATTAAAACTTTGTTAGAGGCATAAGAAGAGTGTGTGTGTGTGTGTAAAAGTGTGAAACCACTGGTAGCTGAACTATACTGGGTAATTTTAATGTTACAGACACATTTCCTACATAGAAATATGCTCTCTTATTTATGAGAGATGGTTACTTGACCTTTTTTTAGGGTTTACACAGTGTTTTAGCTTTTCCTCTTCCTCTACAAGTTTACTGTTGAAGGGTTTCAATGAGAATGCCTTTGTGATAGACGTTAAGTTTCTTTTCACCTTCAGAAAGCAGTACAGAAATCTGTATTTATGAATTTATGAATTGCTAAATAGTTGAGGAAAATGAAATAAATAAAGCTTCATTGTCGGGTTTGTATTTGGCTAGAACTCAGTCTCTGAGAACAGGCCTTGACAAAATTACATAAACATCATATGGATGTTTGGTAATAGAATATTAGCTTTTATTTATATTTTAGGGTTCTCAGATAAGTGAAACCAGTACTGTCAAATCTGAATGTCAGAAGTCTTATTGTTCATTTTAGTGAGGTAAATGTTAAAATTGTAAGAATATTTTAATGGAGTTTTAAATGAATGAGGTTTGTTAGTGCTCCTTAATATTTTATGATCCAGAAATGTATGGACATTTGTTGTGTTTCATTGTCTGAGTCAAGAGCCTCAGAGATAGTGTTGATTTGTAATTTGACTCTGAAATGATAATTTAGTATGCATCAGTTATGCTAATAAGGCCAGAGTTGTATGTTTAATTAGATGTGTTAGTCCTATGAAGTCCCTGGGTGATGCAAATGGTTAAGTGCATGGCTACTAACCAAAAGGTTGACAGTTTGCACCCACTCAAAGATGCCTTGGAAGAAAGACCTGGTCATCTACTTCTGAAAGGTCACAGCCATTGAAAACCCGAATGAAGCACAATTCTCTGAAATGTGTTGCCAGGAGTTGAAATGAACTCCACAGCAACTAGGAAGAAAAACAAAACTGAAAAGTTATCTTTGTATTGTTACGTTACCACATAGTACCGTAGGCTTTAAAAATAGGAAGGAAATTTTCTTTGGTGGTTACCAGGGATAGGAGGGAAAATGGATAATTAAGAGACAGGTTTGATGTGGGTGAAAGGAAAGGCAACATAACCAAAGTATGTGCCTAATACAGTATCATTGAGGAAAAGGAAGACACCAAGAGGTGCATGAGAGGTACAGATCGTACATAAATTTGGTAGATGGTGTTCCTACACGTGTGTATGTGCTATAAAAATGTCCCTATGCTGTTTAAACCAAACAGGAAACAAAGGATAATTTCTTACCCACAGATAAGCACCTTGACTTGGGGAATAATGGATTCCACTGATTAAAATGAAAGTGAACAGCATTTTACCACCACCACTGGAAAAGAAACTCAAAGAACATGTCTCAATTATTTAAATCATTACTTTCTGTGGACTTTTTAGGTGTTTTATATTTACAACAGTGAACTGTTTTCTGCATCACTTTGAAAATGCAGATTATCTTGATTTTTGCAAATAGAGAAGAATTGGGCAGTGGGGCTTAAATGCTTTTATTCCCCCCTCAAGAATGAGAATTGGATTTTTCTGAATCTTTTGGAGTTGCTCAGCTTCCTGACTCAATAAAAACAAGAACTCCCTTTAATAAGGATAAATGATAATAAGTATACTTTACAATTAGGTGACTTGTAAACTGTGTTT